GATTTTTTTTTCTTTTTTTTTTTTTTATCCATATTATTGTTATAATACAAAATATACAGACTGGAGATGCCAAGCGGGTTGTGGGTCACCATGCCCTGGGGCTGGGGGTCACGCCATGCGACCTGCAGTGTGAGGGAGGAGGCAGCATCTGCTCCGCGTGGCAGGGGACAGTGGGTAACCCAGAGGGCCTGGGTGGAGGGAGGAGAGGGGAGAAGGAGACAGGAGGGGTAAGGATCGGGATACCTGCCCTCCCACCCTTGTGAGACTGCAGAAGCGGGTTGTGGGTCACCATGCCCTGGGGCTGGGGGTCACGCCATGCGACCTGCAGTGTGAGGGAGGAGGCAGCATCTGCTCCGCGTGGCAGGGGACAGTGGGTAACCCAGAGGGCCTGGGTGGAGGGAGGAGAGGGGAGAAGGAGACAGGAGGGGTAAGGATCGGGATACCTGCCCTCCCACCCTTGTGAGACTGCAGGTGGGAGCTCAGCCCCATGGCAAACCCAGGAACAGGACTGTGAGATGAACGTGTTGAATGAACCTAAAAAACACATCATGTCTGCAAGGGCTGGGCCAGGGATGGTCCCACTGGAGAGCAGCCCTGTAGCTTTGGCTCAGGGCCCCGGGAGGGGGTTTCTAACAGCTCTGACACCAGGGGCTCAGCCTGGGTCTGGGGCCCGGCCCAGCACAGGTCACCCCTTCACACCCCTTCACAGCTTGAGCCAGCCCAGATTGCCCTCAGCTGCTAAGGATGCGGAGGCTGGAGCAGCAGAGCCGAGGCTGCCGGGGCTGGGTACATTCCCAATGCCTGTGGGATTGCACAGAGGGGCTTTGGGGGTTGGTGTGGGGTCATTAGCCTATGGGCATCACTTCCCCAGCTAGGGCTTGGAGGGGTATGCGGGCAGGACAGGCCTGCCTGCACTCATCCAGCTCTGAGGAGCTGTTGATGATAAAGATGTGGGGAGCCCCAGGATGCTGGCTCCATCCCCGAGGTTCCCCAGGCAGGCTCTCACCTCAAGGCATGGCTGCACCAGGAGGGGGGCTGAGCCCACCCTGCCCAGGGGACCCTCTAGCCCACCAGCAGTGCAGCAGTGACTCCTGGCCGGCCCCAGCCTTGACTTTCCCCCCAAGGAGCTGCCAGCTCAGCCGTGCTCCCAGCACAGGGCTATGCCTGCAGGGACACCTCTTTGACCCATTGCTCGTTCCCCAGGCCTCCAGGCAGCGGGTGGGCTGGGACAGGCCAGGGCGTGGGAGCAGGGGAAGGTCAGCCATAAATGATGGCCGGGAGTGTTGTTGTGAGGCCCAAGAACCAGGGTGGCTGCTGGAGCCCAGCACACATCCCCCTTCCACGTGTCCTCATGCCCTGGCTGCTGTGTCCTCAGGGAGGGGCATATCTCCATTGGAGTCTCAAAGTGGGTCCCTGAGGTCCCCCATGTGCCAGCACCCTGAACCTGAGGAACAGGAGTTGAGGTTGCAGCTCCCAGCCCAGCATCCTCCATCCTGGGGGACCAGTGCCACAAGAAGTCACCTTGAGGTCCCTTTAGTCTCCCCTCTCCCCAGGTCAGGATGAGCCCCTAGGTCTAAACGGGCCCTCCCCTGGGATCAGGGGCTGCTTCCCACAGCTCAAGCAGCAATGAACCCCGAGTGCCCTGTGGCTGCATTCTCCAGGCACAGCCCCTCTGCCCACACAGCAGCCCAGGGGCTGGGCAGGGAGGGTG